TGTTCATTGTGGACACCATCTCTGCAGTTATCTGAGAAATTATTTCTGATTTGATTTTTTTCTAGGTCCTTATTCAATTGCTTTGTTGCTACCACATCAGAGAGGCCAGGTGGGTGGCTCTCAGATTTTCCCATCTCCTTGCCTTCTGGGCTTGCCTTTGGTGGACTGGATCTTCTTTAAGTGTCTTCTCATTTTCTTTTCTTTATTTAGTTTAATTCCTGGGGCAATGCTTGTAAATTGCCTATGGTGAGTTGCTTTCTTGCTAGTATTTAGATCCCTTGGGAAATGACTACTTCTCTGAGGTATCTTCCAAGGGTAGCTGGGTTTGAGGCTTTGAGTCTGTTGCAAGTTCCTTCCCCTTCAATTTGTTGGGGATGAGAAGTTGCTGCCTGTTTGGCCCAGCCTCTGTTCTCTGGCACTGTTCCACAGCATTTTCTGTGACCCTTAGTCAATCTCAGTCTTGGAATACCAGGAAGAACAGCTGTTTAGAATAATTATGTCACTTTTGGCTATAGTGGTACCATCAGCAATGACAATAGCAAAAACACAGCCTAGAAAATGACAGAGATAAACATTAATTTTCCACCTTTAACTGTCTGAACTAGATTTGTGGTTATATAACAAAATCTAAAACAAACCAGGAAATTATATGCATTACACAAGTCCTTAATATGTCAGTTTTGCCCTCAGGGGTTCAAATTTAAAATGGTTAGGGAGAAAATGGAGAAGTGAAAGAAGAGATCAGAAGTAAGCCTGGAGGACAAGATCATGTTAACTTTGGGAAACTGGTGTAGAGGACTGGAGGGAAAGAGAGAAGGAAGAGATAAAAAGAACAGAACAGAACCACAACCACAGAGAGGCTAGGAATCACGTTCACATTCATATAAAAACAAGATCAAACAATGAAGGAGAAAAAAATAAACAAACAAAACCCCAAACCACAGCAACAACAACAAAAAACAAACAAGAGAGCAAGAGAAAAAAAGAAAAGTAAACAAGTGCACTTCCAGATATGTCTTTGTTGTCACTGGTAGACAACGTGTGGAAACAGAGTCCTGATCCATGTTGACTTATCCCAGCAATCCAGCAGTAGCTTTTTGGCAGGGTGGTGGATAATCTCAGCGAGCCTACACCTCCTGGCTGGGACCAAACTCATTCAGCCTCCAGCCCTCAGTGCACCTTCCATGGGCCTGAGCCCAGCTGGAAGCCACTAGATGGAGGCAGCAGCTGCTCTGAGTTCTAAGCTCAGCTGGCCCCTCTCCACAATGTCTCCTGACCAATCACTCTCTCATGTGAATGACTGAGCCCTCAGCACTCACTGCCAGCTAGCGCACTCCTTCGCATCTGGTGCCCCTCTCCACTGCTGCATTTCTGCCTCTCTGTGGAGGTCTCTCAAGTCCCCAGCAGTCACCATGGTTTGAACCACTCCTCTTGCATGGTGAGTCCCATCTCAGGGAGAAGGCACCGCCAGCTACCTCCTTCTTCTTTGTAGAAGTTTCTCTCTCCATGTGCTTCAATTTGTGCTTCAGATCATTCCTGGGCCCAGGGGACCCATTTCCCTCCTTCTTTTCTTTCTTACATTGCTGTAGTCCAGTGTCTGGAAGGCAACTCTCAGAGAGGCTCTTTCTCTGCTGCATACCACTCCACCATCTTGGTGCTCTCTTCATTATTGCTTTTATGGAGGAGAAGATTTGGGAAGTTTCTTACTCTGGCATTCCCATGACCTCTTTTCTGCTTTCCTTTTTTTTGGAAAATAATTTATTTATTGAGGAGTATGTGTCATTTGACCGGCAGAGTTTCTCAGGTGTGGATTTGCAATGGCATTTCCAGTACAGTTGACCATGCCCCTTAGCTGGAGGTGTTTTCCATTTACAGATGGCACAATGTTTGAATTTTCAGGCTCTCTCAGTCCATTTCCTGTTACTATAATAAAAAATATAAATTTGGGCCACTTAGAAATAACAAAGATTTATTTTAGCCTATGGCTCTTCAGGGCCAAGCAGGACAGTGGCACTTGCTTGTTTTTTTCCTGGTGAGAGTCTTGTGCAGAAAACAGAAAGGCAGATGGGCACATGTGGACAAGAGGATAGGGACAGAGGAACCAACTCTCTTACAGTAACATCATACACTCCTGTGAGAACTGATCCATTCCCAAGAAATTAATCCAGTCTCCTGAGAAAGATTTAATCCCTCTCCAAGGCTCTACCTCCCAACGCTGCTACATCAGCAACCAAATTTGAACATGAGTTTTGGCAGGAAAGAAACATGGCCACACCATAGCAGAGGCCTAGTCTATAACTCAGTTTAATTTCTTTTTGAACAGGGTGCGAAATGTATTTATGTTTTAAAACCAAAAATACAGGCAGAGATCTTATTCCACCAATCCTAGGTGCTCTTAGCTGGTTATTAGATAAGAAAAATCCAATAAGTTGGTTTGTTGAACCTAAAGACTTTAGGATCCAAAATAGATATAACTATTATAACCTTAGTAATATTTCAGTACAGTATATTAATTACCTGTGAATGCTGAGTTAGTATCCATAATAATTGTAAAAGCTACTACTTAAATAATATCTACTTTATGCTAAGCACTATTTTAATCTATTTTATGTATATATATTTTTCATTTACTTTACTTGGTGTATCATAAATTGTAGATGTAAATATATACATACATACATACACACACACATGCACACATTTTCCTCCTTCTATTCATATGTATCTGAAAGTGTTGGCCATAGGATGTTCAATAATTTCTAAGTCCTCAATTTTATTCTCCATTTTCAAAGCATGCACAAAAATTTGTGACAGCCAAGATGATATTCTGCTCTATTATAGCTGTTGAAGTGGTGATTTTAGACTGTTCCCATGGGGTGTATATACTGAGGAAGCAGACATAACTACAAAAGCAACTTCATACAGGTGTGCATGCATGTTAGGTGGTACCACCAGGATGGTACCCGATGTGTGTGTGTGTGTGTGTGTGTGTGTGTGTGTTGCAAGCATGTTCAAATTTATTTGTTCATGCTACTCAGTTTTTCAAGGTTGCTGGTTGAGCCAACTCATGGATAGGTTTCTGTGTGAACTTAAATTTCATATTTCTCTGGGATAAAAATACAACAGTGCTGTCAGTGGGTCATATGGTAATTGCATGTTTAAGTTTGTAAGACGCTGTCAAATTTTTTCACAATGGCTGTTCCATTTCACATTCTCACCAGCATTTGGGGTTGTCACAGATTTTTACTTTAGCAATTCTAATAGTTATGGCATGCTATGTCATTGTGGCTTTAATTTGCATTTCCCTAATGTCTAGTGATATGTCATTATCTTTTCATAAGGTTAATTTGTAATCTGTATAATATCGTTCATGAAATATCTGCTTGTATCATTTTCTAATTTAATTGCTTATTATTGATGAGTTTTGAAGCAGTTAAAATATATTCTATTTTCTAGAATAGAAAACTATTTCTAGAATAGAAAGTTATATTTTAAACACACAATATAGTCTAATATGCAATGTAATCTAAACATGCAATTGCCATATGACTCATTTTTTTAAAAGTTTATAGTTTTGGGTTCTACATTAAAGGGAAATCCATGCTCCGTTTTGAAGTAGCATTTGTATCAGGTATGAGGCTTAGACTGGTGCTATGTTTTCACGGTGGGTCCGTGAAAGGCATCCTTTCCCTGCAGATTTTCTATATTAAAATGGTGGTCTTAGCCACACCTGCTTGGAAGACTTTCATGATGTTTTTTTTCTTATAGTCTTAATGTGACCAGAAAACCTACATATTCTATATTTTCCTTTGGGATTTGGAGATTTTCTGCCTGAGAACCAGTCTTGTCTATCTCCTTTACTTTCACTTTCTAGCCTTTCATGACGCTTATAAAGGTGAGAAAAATGTGGCCTGATGGGAATGTTTAACCCACAAGTCTCAGGCAAAGTTTACAAAGAGGAAGAGGAGGAAAACAAAAGAACATAGCCTGGACTTGAGCTTCCAATCCATGACTTTTTAAAAACAGTGTAATTGATATGCACATGTGTGTGGTAGAGTGTGCTTTTTGAAGTACATATACCAGGTACAGTGACAGAATCAGGGACAGAAGCATACCCATCACCTGGAACATTACCTACTTGCCCACCTGCTGTCTTGCATGGGCCCCTGTGACACACAGCAGCTCAGGCCAGGCATCCTGAGGGCCTCTTCGGCTGAGGTACAGAGGGAAGAGCCAGCTGGTCGCTGTCTCTTTTCCCAAGGTCCTGAGCAGGTGGTGAGCAGAGAGCTTGGGCCCTGTGGAGAGATGGGGTGCTGTGGCAGGCTCCCCACTGTGCCCCAGCATAGCACACCCACCCTCCCGTGCTCTGGCTGCAGAAAAAGCCCAGTATCAGATTAGGAAAAGCCTGCCTGGCCTCTTCCTGATACTGCCAGCTTCTAGGGCTCTGAGATTCGTGAGGGACAGCTTTGCCAAGCGAGGGGGGTGGGGCAGATGTGGAGCTGGACCCTGCGTGGAAGAGAGGAAAAACAGGCCATACTCCCGCCCTCCTCTTCCAGCCCCTGTGGTTCGTTACTCTTGCTCCTGGAGTCCCTGGCTGGCCTCTTGGGCAGCAGCCGAAGATGGAAGAGGTACATTGTGTATTGGAGATGAAATGGTTTTTACCCCAGTTCACAGGCAGAGGAGGAGAGCAAGGAACAGACAGCTGGGGCGCAGGAGGAGCTCTTCTGCTGGGGCTCCCTTGGTCACTCATTTGAGTTTTTGCCTGCCCTTCACTGGGAGGTGATTTATCTGTTTATTTGCTAATTCCCAGAGAACCCATCACCTGCCCCTCAAGCCCTCTAGCAGATGCTGATTTCACGCTTCCTGTGTGTCCCTCTCTGGGGACACAAGTGATGACACGTGGCACTGTGCACTGTGGGAGGCTAGAGTGGTGAGTGCCGGCCCCACTGTGTGCCCACACAAGCACAGCGCAGGGCTCTGCCACATGTGTGTCATTGCAGGCGTGAGCCCGGCCTCAGTGACCCTGGCCAGTGCCCTGCAAGTCAGGGGCGAAGCTCTGTCGGAAGAGGAAATCTGGTCCATCTTGTTGCTGGCTGGGGAGAGGCTCCTGGAAGACCTCCGCAATGGTAAGAGAGCTTGCAGACAGCTGAGTTCCTTCTGTGGGTCTCTCTGGCTGCTGTTTCTCCGCTATGGCTGGTCCTGGGGTTAGAAGGTGTGGGAAAGGGTATCCCTAAGCTGCTGCGCTGGAGGCTGGTCTGTTACTGGGACAGGGCCACGCCGCAGCCCTGAAAAGCCTGCTTCGGATCGCGGTGCTGAGGCAGACTGCGGCAATAAGGGCCCTCTGACAGCTGGGCTATCTGGGCATAACTGGAGACGAGGGCAGGGGACAGTCACCAGGGACACTCCACATCTGTCTGCCAGATGCTAGGCTCATCTGTGCTCTATCAAAGACGAAAACCAGGGGAGCTCAGTATAATTATTAAACGTGATTGTGTAGGAGTGTGAGTGGGTGACTTCCAGCTCCCCGTGAGCAGGGTAGTGTGGGCAGTACGGCTGTGTAGACAGGGTCACCAAAGGGCCATCACCTGGGCCTTGTCTCCTGGGCCAGAGTCCAGGTCACAGCGCCACCCCTTGGTGGTCTCCTGCCCATACCACTGACTGCTTGAAACAGCAAGAGAGCGCTCCCCGCTGTCTCCTCAGCGCCCTCTACCGGTGAGGCTAAACATTGTGCTCTAGTGCAGCAGGAATGTTAAACGAGCAGGGTTTGGAGATGGATTTGAAGCCGAGGCATTAAACTGGTGGCTGAAACCAACACTGAAAGCCCACACTCAGGCGTCAGCTTGTAAATCCCACAGGGACCGCAGGTCAGCACATGCAGAGGCTCTGGTGTGTGAGATCACACACGCCATCAGAGTCCGGGCAGGGGCCGATGACAGGAAGCCATGTTCCTGTGCCGTGGTCTTCGCCTTCTCCCCAAGCCTTCGCCCCTTCTACCCTGCCTGGGAGCTTCTGAGAATGGCGACAGAGCTCCCAGAGCCACTGCCTGTGGTCCTGGTCTGGCTGCAGCGAACTCAAGCTTGAGCCAATTTCCAGGTGGTCTTGAGACTCAGCCTCCCACGAATGCAGGCTCTAAATCCCTGGATGGGACCACAGCGGCCTGTTGTCACCACTGTTCCCATGCCTCAGGGAAGGTTCATTCTTCTCCGTGTCGCCCCTGCCTTGCGTGTGGCCAGACACAGCCCCACACCGGCCCTCGGGGCGGCCCCATCTCCGCCTCACCCCTGCCTTGGTTGCAGACTCCTCCGACTATGTGGTCTGCCCCTGGTCAGCCCTTCTTTCTGCTGCCGGAAGTCTTTCTTTCCAAGACCACGTTTCTCACTTAGAGGCTGCTCCTTTCAAGGCCCCCGAACTAATACAGGGACAGAGTGAGGAGGAGCATCTGGACGCAGCACAGGTAAGTGGCGCGTGTTGAGGGGCGGGGGACCCCAGCACCCACCTCACCGCAGGTGCCTGTGCCTCATCTCAGTGGCAAAGTGGGTTTAAGGGTACTGTTCTCGGCTCTGGAGGAGGGTGGGTCGTTTTCACCGAGGCCCAGTTTCCTCAGCTGCAGACTGGGGCAGTGAATCGTGCTGCTGCCAACATGCAAACACAGGCCGTAGGAAAGCTGAGTGGTGCCATCGCAGCGCAGGGCAAGCACTCCAAGGGCCCAGTAGGCCTCCCCTAGGAGGACACCCCGAGGCACAGCAAGGGTGGAGCCGGCTGCAACAAGGTTGAGTAGTATTGTTGCCATCAGTCGTAAACTGGAGCCAAGGTGAATGCTCAGGTGAAGCAGATATGAAACAAGACAGCACTGAACTGAAGTGACTATAGATGTTTATTTAATGACTTGAAAAGAAATTGAACATGTGCTTGTCACAGTTCCAGGTTTTGGTCACAGCTCAGTAATGTGTCAAGGATCCAGGCCAGATAGGTCTACTCTTCCCTTCTTATCTGTGGCTTTTGTTTGTCTCCTTATGGTCACAGGATGGCTGCTGTGACACCATGTATCACAGCACAGAAAGGATGGAACTAGTCACATGTGTTTCTTTTGTCAGTAAAGTGAAGGCTTTCTCAGAAGCTCCAACAGACTTTCCTTCTTACATCTTTTGCCAACATTGCATGTCATAGTTACTGCTAGAAAGCAAACTTCTGGCTTCCTAACCTCTACTGCAGGAGGCAGCAAAGGTTAAGGGAGATGCAGGTGGCATTGTCTGGCCAGAAGTAGAAATTGTGCTGGGTTTGCTTGCAGGGTTGTGGAACAGAACAGGTGACTGACATCTAACCTCATGTTTCTCTTGGGCAGATGCATGTCTACTCCCTAGGGATGACCCTCTACTGGGCTGCAGGATTCCGTATCCCGCTAAGCCAGGTCTGTAGACAAGGATACTAGGTCATGCTTTAGGGTGGTTTAGTGACACAAGTGGAGCTGAAAGGTGACAGAAGGGGCACTTGGTGTCTTTGCTCAGAGGAAGCAGCAAGCTAGAGGATTTAATAAGACACCAAAGATGCTGTTATTTATTTATTACATATTTATTTACAGAGAGGCCTTTGAAAGCAGCCCCTCCTGCAGCCAGGAGCTTCCTGGGGAGGAGTTCTGTGGTCATCACATGTGGAGGGATGGTCCCTGCTCTGCCTCCCTTTCAGAGACTTTTCAGAGAAGTTTATAAAAGACTATGAGAAAATTTGCAGCATAGAAACTTAAGCTTTGGTTAGCACAGCATTTTACACAATTTCAGACTACTTTGTGTGTGTGTGTATAGATTTTATCTGACACTGTAAAAATTCCTCAGAAGCCAGCACTGCAAGAACACACACTAGAGAACCCAGCCAAGCTGACGAGACCCTCTTGTCCACCTGCTGTTCCTCCTTCTCGCCTTCCTTTCCTCTTTCTCTTCCTTCTTCTCACCCAGCCCTCTCCAAGCCAACATCCCAGTGCTTTCTGAAGGCTCTTTTTTTTTTTTTTTTTTTTTTAAAGCAGAGTCTCACTATGTAGTTCAGGCTAGTGTTGAACTCACTATGTAGCAAAGGCTGGCTTCAAACTCACAGCAATCCTCCCACCTCAGCTTCCTGAATGCTGGGATTGCAGGCGTGCGCCACCACATCCAGCTTGGGAGCTGCCTTACAGAGACTCACTCACAATACTCCCTGCCTGAAACCTGGCTGCTCCTCGCCACCTCAGGGCGGTGCTCCAGCTTCTCAGCCAGGCACACGTGGAGCCCAGAGTGGGCTCCTCCTCCTGTCTGGCTCCTCTCTGGTCCTCTGCTGTCCTTGTGGTTTCATGGAAACTTGTCACTTGTGCTCTGTGCTTGCTCTGCTAGCGCCATCCTGAAACTCTGCATCATTTGGACCTGGAGGTCCCACATTGTCATTTTGCCCAGGCTGTGGTCCTGTACCGGTTCATCCCCACCCCAGCCTTTGCGCTGCGGCTGCCTCCACCTCAACTCCTCCCATGCTTCTCTTTAAAGCCCTGCTGTGTTCTTGCTGGTTCTGTACCTCCTGCCCTTGTAAGTGACGGTCCTGACTTTCTCTTTAAGTGACCGTCTTTCCCCTTGGGCTGTGACTGTTTTGGAGGTGGGGAGCGCCTCATCCAGCTGTGCAGGCCAGAGCTCTGGGTGCCTCCTCTGCTGCATGAGCAAAGGACACAGGGACCTGGTGCAGCTCCCTGGAGACCTGCAGGGCAGCCTTGCTGTACAGCAGCTTTCAGCACAGCTAGAGTGGGAGAAACAATCCCATCATCCTCATCGTCATCGTCATCCTCACCGTAGTTCTCATTTGTGATGCTGGGGATTGAGCCCAGGGCTTCATGCATCTTAGGAGAGTGCTGTACCCCTGAGCTACACCTGGGCCCTAATAGTCTGGTTTTCTCTCTGGATCTGAGCCCTTGGTGGTGGCCACTTAATTGCACGCAGGAAAAGCTTATTAGAGGCTCATCTTCCCTTTTGCTTGCCCTGTGCATTTGACATCAAGTTCAATAGGCACTTGCGCTGCTTCAGGTGTCTCCGAAGTGAAAAGGCCCCAGTCTGGCCTTGTGATCTGGAACTCGAGGTCTAGGGCAAGGCCGCATGAGAGCCACCCGAGTCACTGGAGAAAATGACCCCCAGGGGAAATGTGGGTGAAGGGCGGGCCTCTCTGTGGCTGTGGCGGGCTCAATGGTATCCATTTTGCACCTGCCGTTCATTGGCTCCCAGGCACATGGACTGATGGTGTCTGGGATCACAGAGTGACCTGTGCACTGTGCCCAGCAGGTGCAGGGCCCATCACTCTGTCCCATACAGCCTCAGTGACAGCCTGGTGTCTGTCTGAGCTCTCCAGCAGGGGCAGGCATGGGGCGGCACAGCGACAGAGCACCAGTTTCCTCTGATAGCTTCTCACCCCTGCGACCCCTGTGCCCACAGCCCCTGCGGCTCCACCAGCCCCTGCACACCCTGCTGCTGGCCATGTGCGAAGACCAGCCCCGCAGGCGGCGCCCACTGCATGCCGTCCTGGAAGCCTGTCGGGCCCATCAGGAGGAAGCGGTTGTGTCCCCAGTCCTTGCCAGACTCCACGTGCGGCGGCTGGTGGGCTTAGTTCTGGGCACGCTGTCCGAGGTGAGGATAGAATCCAGCTTCTCAGCCCAGCTGATTGAAATTAAAACTAAGTTAGAATTAAAAATGAGATAAGATACAGTAATCGGGGCTAGGGCTGGAGCTCAGTGGTGAGGGCTCGCTTAGCATGCATGAGGCGCTGGACTCATCTCCCGACAGGAAAAGCAATGAAATTCCTCACTCCAGCTACCTTTCAAGTGCTCCCATGGTGTGGCCCAATTCCCTGCCATCCCTGTGTCCAGCAAGTGACTGGCACAGGGCAGGTGTGGGTGGCTTCAGTGGGTTCCTTCAAGCTGACCCAGAGCCTGGGGTTCCTGTGCAGGTCCCACGTTGGGAGAAGAGGAAGTTGGGGAGGTGGCTTAGCTGGAGGCCGCGTCCCTTTACCCCAGGAGCTTGGCCTGGGAATGGTATCTAGAAGTTGGTGGGCACGGTAGGTCCAGGGAAGGGGCAGGTGAGGTTCCCTGTGGGACAAGATGGAAGGAGGCCAAGCTGGGATCCCTTGACAGCTGTACTTGTGCAGGGATGTGCTGGAGAGCAGAACAGGACAGGTGCTGGGGCCCTGTGGATGGAGGCGAAGGACCTCTCGGTGGCACTGACGACATCTGTCAGAAACGGCTCTTCCACCTTGCCCGCTCCTCAGACTGCCTTCACTCTTAGATGTGCGCATGCACTCCTGTAATTGTGTTGCGTCCGAGGGGTGCCCTGTCCGTGGACAGACACTGTGTTCACTGGGGGCCGGCAGAATAGACTCCAGTCCCTTCCTCAGCAAGCTGCAGTGTGGAGGGACACAGATGGGGACAGAGTGACAGGTCGAGTGGCCAGGGTGGAGACGGAGAGGACTAGAAAGGGAAAGGACATGAATCTGAGACTGGCACAGAGGAGCCTCGGGGAAGTGATGGCCGGGACAGCACAGATGTGCTGCGCACAGATGTGCCTGTCTCTAGGGAGTAGCACGGTGCTGCCACACAGCTTCCGGCTCTCCCTGACCTAGCAGGTCCGGCGGTTTGCATGGGCCTGTATCAGTGCCCTCTGACCTCGGGCTGCCCATGTGGATGCGCTTGACCCTCAGGTGGAGAAAAGAGTTGTGCAAGAAGACATCTGTACACAGCAGAGCAGAAGCTACCTGCTCAGGAGGAGGCTGCAGCCACAGAGCGGCCAGAGCTCCGAGGCCCTGGCCCCGGACCGACCGCAGCCCCACAAAGGTGTGTCCTTGGGGCACCTGGGGTTCCCAGAGTGAGCCAGGATGCCTGTCCCTGAGCCCTGCCCTGGGTGGGCTGGATACCCCATGTGGCAGCTGAGAAAGTCCCTGGAGGAAGCAGGCGGAGATCAGGTTCCCCCAGGACAAGTTTAACAACTTTCCCACTGTTTATGTCAAATGTTAACTCTTTCTGTTGAAGTCTGACTGTCCATGTGGATGAGAACAGACTAAAGCAAGCAAGGAAAGAAGGACAGCTCTTAATAATTACTTCCCAAGGGAAATGAAAGGAAAAGTAACTTGTAAAAGTTTTGAAAAATATTTTTGTTTCTATTTCAAATATCTTAAGAGTGGCTTTTATAGTAACCTTCAGCCAGGAGGCGGATGCCTGTAATCTAAGCACTGGAAAGAGGCTGAGGCAGGAGGATCATCATGTAGCCTGGGCTACAGAATGAGTTCAAGGACAGTCTGAACCAAATAGCGAGACCTTGTTTCAAAAACAAAAACAGAAACAAACAAGCCCTTCAAATCTACTGAGCTCTTCTTTTCACCTGAATCTGAACTTGCTCCCTTTCCACTTCTTCCTTTCCTCCCCTCCCCCTCCCTCCCTTTCTTTCTTGTTAAAGTTATTGCTTGCTGTCCTTAAAGCAGGGTGTCCCCTTGCCCTTTGCTATTAGGCTTCATGTCCCCTGTAACTCTGCTTCCACCCCATGGTTTTCTTTTCCATCTTTGATATGAGAATACAGGCTCAGAGAAGTTCACTAATCTCCCTGAGGGTGCACAGCTAATAAACCGAGGTGTTATCCAAGCTGCCAGCTGCCTGGATCATGGAAGCCATACCCTTTCTCCCCATTCATGCCTCCACCATGCTGCCTGGTTGGTTTCAGAACAATGCATAGAGACGCAGAGCTCCGGGGAGCCCCGCTGGAGCAGCTCAGCACACAGCCACTGCAATCTGTTTGAGAACAGGTGAGCTGCAAGGGATACTTGGTGCGGGGCACTGGCACCTGGAGCCACGTAAGTCCTGCTTTGTTGCTGGTTACTTCTGAGAAGCCTCCTGTTCTCCAGCAAATCCCAGCACCATTGCATCAGCAAAGGAAGAAGGTAGGCTCAGGCAGGTGTCCAGGGGCTCTGTGGCAACTGCGCTGCTGGGCAGCTGTGTCCCCTAGGAACTGAACCTCACTCAGGCTCAGCATTGGAGCGAAAGGCCTCTGTAGGGATGCAGTTGTCCGTGGCCACACTGGTGGCATGGTGAATGGCAGGTGCGGTGGCTGCCGGCAATACCTGCTCAGTGGGCTCATGGCCTGTGCGTTGGGGGCCCGGTTCTACTGTCCAGTGGGTGCCGTCCTGCACATGTGGCTGGCTGAGCTCAGCTGGCAGCTTCATGTCAGAGAACCCTGGCCTTTCTTTACCAGTTGTCTGGCTGGGATTGATATCAGGACAGTGACAGAATGGGGATGGGGGCAGAGAGAAGTAGGGAGGAGGGAAGAGAGGAGAGAAAGGGTTAAAGGGCTTTCAGAACAGGTTTTCCACCACTTCTACCTCATTGCACTGGCCAAATCAGGCCTTGAGAAGTTCAATTGAGCTGGGTGTGCTGGTACCTATCTGTAATCTCAGCACCTGGGAGGCTGAGGCAGGAGGATTGCTGTGAGTTTAAGGCCAACTGGGGCTAGATAGCTAGGCAGTGTCTCAAAACAAACAAGCAAACAAACAAACAAAAATTTGGCCTAAATTCACAGGGTGGGAAGCTGGACTCTATCTTTGGGTGGGAGGAGCAAGGTTGTATTGCAAGGGGCAGGGAGAAAAATTGGGGTCTTTTCTGCTACCAGTCTAATCCTGGTGCTTAGATCAAATCCCACCCAGGCCTGAATCTTCCTGGAGCTGGGATGTGCATTTGAAGTTTGAGGATTTGCTGATTTCCATATTGATTCATAAAGGACAGTGACAGTGTCTAGTCTTTCTGTGGTCCAGTGGGTCCGTGCTTGGTGTCACAGCCACAGCTGGGCCTTGGCCAGACATTAGAGCTCCCCTCGCAGTGATTTTTCCTGCCACTTAAAACCAACAGAAAGAGCCAATAAAGACAGTTCCCCAGGTACTACAATTAACACATGGCCTTCATCCTTTAATGATAGGATCTGCTCTGAGAAAGCAGCATAGGTGATTACACAAACCTAGGTGCGCAGTCACCTAGGGCCTGTGGTGTATATGCATGCACACGAGCACATACGTGTATGCACGTGCATGTGTGTATTTATATGATATAGCTGAGCACTGCTAGGGTCACAGTGGACAAGACAGCCTGAGATTAAGTACAGATGAAGAGAGAACATGATCAGGAGCTGCCACAGCCAGGGCCAACTGTCACACGGGAAGCCTTTATAACCAGAAGGATGCATTCAAAAACAGCAATGAAAACTGTGGTACTGCAAATATATAAGCCAGTAACATCATCAGGTCTGGTCATTGTCCATGACCATAATGGCACTGTGTGGGACTGTATGTGCTGTCTTTTTATATAGCTGGCAGCTCAGCTGATGTCTGTACACCACTGTCCCCACAAGTAAGAGGTGTGGTGTGCTACCATGTCACTGTGGCTTTGACCTCACCAGGCCCTGGGACTTTGTTAGCTCCATGATAGCACTGAGGGACCACTGTCACACATGCAGCATACTGTTGACCAAAATGTTATTATGCGGTGCATGCTCTATATTTGTTGTCAAAACATTTCGAACAATACATGAAATTTGAAGGAAGGAAGTCAGAAGCCCTGGTGTTTCCATGAGGTACTCAGAGGTTATCAGAGGGGATCTAGGGCTGTAGCACCCAGAGCATAGAAGCACAGTTCTGAGCTGGGGGAGAAGCAAACACCTGAGGATGTACGGCTTTTACTTCCTCTGGCCTTGATTTTCACATTTGAAAAAAAGGTGTGGTCCTCCTTTGTGCATGTGGTAACTCCTGGGCATATGTGGGGTGACAAGGGCATGAAAAGTGGGTGCAGCTTGCCCTGATGAGCACCTGCATGCAGTGGCAGTACAGGACAGGATGGGTATCAGCGCCTTAGCTCCTCACCCCTTCTGGCCTCGGCCAGCCCGCTCGCAGGTGCCGCGCCTCTTGGCTGGCAGGATGGCCCGCGGAGCAGCTCGGGGTCCATGCTCCCGGCAGAAGCAGAGAGCCCGAGATCAGCGACACCCCAGCAGGGTTTCCTGCAGAGGAAGGGAAAGGTGAGCAGAAGAGCCCGGGCACCTCTGAGGAGGGTTGAGCAGGGCCATGGTACCCTGAAGGGGGGCAGGGTCCTTGGGCACCGGGACCCTGAGCTGCTATCCACAGAACAGATGACTACAGACCAGAAATATACAGTCCCACTTCGTATCCGCTGAGTGGCCTTCCTGGCCATCCATGCCACAAGGACGCCAGGCCAGAGACATAGGCTGCCTCTCAGAGTGCACAGCTTGGTGCACAGGGGAGCCACCAAGTGCCACCTGTGATGACAGTGACACGGCAGAGTGCACATGCCACGGCCGCAGATCCAGCTAGGCCTTCTCTAGGCCAGGGAGATCTCCCTTCCGGTAAAGACAGTGGTAGGGGCAGAGCTCATAGGCAGCCAAGCTTGGCAGAGGGATCGGTGCTGCAGGTGGGATCGGTGCTGAAGGTGGGATTGGGTGGGCCCAGGATGCACTGTCTGCTGCAGGCCATGCCACGTGCGGTGTTTAGAATAAAGCACCATCAGAATGAGACACTGCCATTAGCTGATACCCATAGTGACCATGAATAGATTGGTGCGCCTGGGTCGAGGAGGAGCCCCCCATCCCCAGGTGTTCACTGAGGAGCTTCCCCTCCCCAGCCTCCATCTCCCTGTCCAGGACCCTTCAAGACCTCAGACTAGAAGGACATTTGTGTCCTCAGAAGGCGTCTGTCTGCCTGCCCACTGCAGGGAGGTTTGCTTAAAGCTTTTCAACAGATCAGAGCTGAACAGAGCCTCAGCAGCCTCAGGACATCTCTTTCCATGTTCCCACATGCCCAGCCATGTCATCCTCAATGTCACGCTGGCCATCACAAGCCTGAAGAAGGGGTGCCAGCGCTTCCTGGAGGCCTTGAGATGCCAGGCCCTAGCCGGGGAGTACGGAGCCACGGTGGGGGCAAGGACAATAGCAGGGCACAGCTGCTGCCTCTCCTCTAGTTTTTGTCCTCTGGGGACTCTAGGACACAGCTGAGCTCCTGACAAGGATTTTGGCTTCCTAGGGCTGGAGCCTTACTGGGTTCCCTGGGGGGCACAGCGGAGTTCCCACCTGACCCTGTCACTCCCTGGTTCTGTGACTGCACGAGTTTTTTATTCTCTGGGAGCCTTGAGCTCCTCGGCTGAGGTGAGCTGAGAACATGTGTGCTAGGCAGTGGCTGGGGCTGAGGACCAGTGAGGATGGAGACATCGTTTCTGTCTCGGTCCTGAGTGTGGTACAGCTGGGCTGAACTGTGACGCCCGGGTCAGATGCGCCAGTGAGCACTGTTGAGTTGGTACCTGGGGGAGCAAGTGTTGCTTCCCCTGTCTAACCCTAGAGCAGCTTGGCTTTTATTCTTTTTATTGCACGGATATCTATTTCTACAGTGTGTTTTACACTTGTACGTACGCAAGATCACACGACGCTGTGTGACTGAGGAGCTGCTAAGGATGCGGCCCTCCCTGTTGTGTGCCGCTCAGGAGCCGGGGCATAGCCCATCTCCTCCCTCACCTGTACAGCTTTGGCTGGGAACCATGGCTTGGCCTTAGTGACACCTGTCTCGTTTTGGCTGTGCGGCAGAGGCCTGGTGAGGGGGGAGGGAGGTGAGCTCAGAGGGGAAGTCCGGCCCCCAGCCTGGAGCTGTTCTCTCCTCTCCAGTCAGTGACTGACTCTTTCCCCAGTTCTCCAGGCCGGAGTTCCTCTTGCTGGCTGCCGAGGCCCCCGTGACACTGCACCTGCCCGGATCTGTTGTGGTAACAGTGGCTGGGGGTGGGGGGTGGGGGTCACTCAATCAGAAACCCCAGACAGCCCCATCTCCCTGGCGCCTGTGATGGCCTCATCTTGAGCTCCTTGGCATGCACTTGTCTCCAGGCCCAGGTCCCTGCTGTCCCTGCTGGGGCTGGACCAGGAGTCTCAGTCAATGTGGTGCACCAGGATTTCCCTTCCTGTCTCCCCTACCTCTACAGGAGAAGAGCCTGTTGGATTATCAGCCTGGCACACTGAAGCCTAGCTCTCAGGCCTCTGCCCAGGCACCCTGAAGCAGGGCTGTGGAGATGGCTGGCTTGGTGGCTGCCTCCGCCTGAGTCCTGGCACCATGCCCAGGATGACCCTTCCCTTGCAGTTCAGAGAAGTGCAGAAGGTGGCAGGAAGCCTCCTCTGGCTCAGCCTGGGATAAGTTCATGCTTCCTATAGAATTCCAAGGATTGAGGTGCTCAAAGCTCAGGAATTCTCGACCTATGCAGGTGGTGTGACAGGCGGGTGTGTGACAGATTGGAGATGTCACAGTGATGTGCTCTGGGGATCTGCAGCCTTCTGAGTGCACTTCACACATGGCCTCAGGCAGAGCTGCAGGCATAGTGTTGGGTCCTCAGAGGCTCTCCCTGGCCTCTCCTTGTCCTGTGTGCACTGGCCTATAGCACTGGGTCAGTCCCTCTTCTGCTGGTCCCCTTTGAGCCACCTGTCCAGTCCTCACCAATCTACACATACAAGTCCATCCACTGGGTAGGGAGGAGGGGGTGATTCCCTACAGCCCCTTCCTGGAGGTTACATAGCTTAGGCAACTGCAGACTCCTGCAACATCAGGCAGGTGGGAAATGCCTACCACCATGGCTACAATGTCCCCTCTAGCAAGAATGCTAGAGGTGCTGTGGGGCACCCTCCATCCCTGGTAGGTTTCTTGACCAAGACACCAGGCCTAGGAGCCTATTGGTAATCCATAGAGGGGCTCCTGGACCCCAGCATCTATGCAGAGGGCAGGAAGAATGAAAAGGAGCACCAAGGGCTCCCCCAAAAGAAGACTGCTTGGACCTCTCTTCTTCAACTCTGTACCTGGGATCTCCCGTGGCACTCTGTCTGTTTCTCTGGCTTGGACTAGAACATCTACAATCCGTTGCATAAAAACCCTGACCTCATTGGTCTGCACAGCTTCTTGTCTCTCCCTTCAAGTCTTTTCCTTCATGGCTGTTATATCAGTCCCTTTCCCATTGCAGGACCCACAGCTTAAAGAAGGAGAGGCTTATTGGCTCCTGCTTTCAGTCCATGTCCTTTGGCTCCAAGGTAGAAACAGCATGGTGGAAGGGCCTGGCAGGGAAAAGTGGCTCAACCCATGGCAGCCAGGAAGCTAGGGGGGAGGGAAGAGCTAGAGGCAAAAATGCATCTGCAAGGTCGCACCCAGGTAATCACCTCCCACCAGGCCTACCTCCTCACAGCACGTTTGCTATGAACTCATCCATGGATGAATCCGCTGATGAGAACAGCGCCCATGATCCACTCACCTTCCACACGCATGAAGCTCCTGAGGGGCATTTTAGACCCCAACCGGCACAGCGACCTCTCTCTGGAGGCTCCGCAGAACCAAACCTGTACCGAGGAGAGCTGGTAGAGCATGCGCACTGAGACAGACCTCTGTGCGCCTCCTTCTGGCTGCCGGAAATGAAACGGTTTCCCTTTGCTCATAGCGTGGCTGTCCCTCCTGGGAAAGGGGATTTTGTAGGGCTGACCACCTCATTTACAGCCAATGCACCACGCCCTGTGTGCAAAGGCACCACTAGCCGTCTAAAATATAAAATATTTCTCTTTTTTTCTGAGGTCTTTTTGTCTCATTCATTTTCTGTCTCTGTCTTTCTTGAAATGTCATGGCGGCTTTCTTTTGTTTTTCCTTCCTCCTCTCCTTCCTTGTCCCTCTTCTCCTTTCTCCCTTCCTTTCTTGCTTCTTCCTTCCTTTCTTCCTTGACATGAGACCAGAGCTTCACAGGCAAATGCTGTACCACTGAGCTACACTCCCAAGCCAAAACATGGTGGTTTTATTTGCTATTTAATGTCACATTCCCTTGGCACTGGGTAAACAGAGATCCTCCCATGCCCCTGGGTCCTTGACCTGTGACTCAAGTTTCCCTCCTCCAGCTGCTGAATTCCTGAGTCATGCAGGGTAGAAAAGTTGAGCTCCCTTCCCATATTTCTGCTGCCCCAGCCCAGACTGATGTGTTTCCTAGGGAATCACAACCTCCTTATGGAGATGCCCTGGGTACCTGGATTGGGGGTGGGTGAGACATTTGTTTATGCTAAGTTGTCCACAGAAAAAGCTGCTGCCATGCCACTCTGAGATGTTTTGGGAGCACCTCTGCTTGTGCCAGCCTTCTGTAAGGGGTACGGTTGGGAGAGAATGTGAGCCATGACCACCCTGGCTGGAGGGCAACAGAGCCTGCTGTGCGGGGAGGTGGAGGGAGAAGGGGTGGTTGGCACAGGCCTGGGAGTCCAGGAAACAGAGGAGTTGGCAGTCAGATCCCATCCCAGAGATGTAGGGAGTCACTGGGAGCTGGAGCTCCCTGTGAATGTTCCATTGTGCTATCAGCTTCACATAGAAAATGGGCAGTCGGGGGCTGGGGATTTAGCTCAGCGGCAAAAGCGCCTGCCTGGCAAGCGCAAGGTCGTGAGTTCGGTTCCCGGTACCAGAGAAAAACCAAAAAAAACAAAAAACAAAACAAAACGAAAATGAGCAGTCAAAGACAGTATTATTAAGAACTTCCAGAGGGGGCATTAGAGAAATGGGCCCAAACATGGTCGGGACACAGGGTCCTGTGTGATACACTGCTGGCCTGGATACCTGCTCTCTGCGGGTTTTTCACCTCTGACTGCACACAAGAGTCACCTTCAGGGCATTAAAATACTGGATCCTGGGCCTTTTCTTAGACTGATAGAACCATCTCTGGAGTAGTCCCTGAGTCAGCACCTTAACGCTTCCCTCAGGTGACTCAGGTGTGCAGGGGGTTAAGGTGGGAACCAGGGTGTCTCACAGTGTGCCTATGTGACCAGCCTGGTCCAGGACCATGTGAAAAATCCCCTCCCATACAGTCTGCAGATCTGAACTTGCTCCTGGAGAATGGCAGAGAGCTCAGGTCCACCTCCAGGCTCCATCTCTTACTAACTTTGCAGCCCTGGGCAAGCACTTACCAGGTCCGAATAGAATCATAAACACAGTCCTTTCTTAGGGTTGCTTGACAGTTAAATGAGATGCTCCATGTAAAGCACCTGGCACAGTACGTAGCACAAGTTCAAGGCTCCATGTCTCAGTTATTGTGGCAACTGATGCTACTATCGGTTTTTTCAGACAAAAAAGGGGAAGTCCTACTTGGCTCTCAGGGACGTCTGTGTGGTTCTGCTGAGCGGGCAGTGTCTGGAGGTGAAATGCGACATCGAGTCCACAGTGGGAGCTGTCTTCGATGTCGTCACATCCTTCATCAACCTTGGGGACGTCACCTACTTCAGCTTGGCTTATGTGAAAGGTGAGTGTCTCTGGGGAGCCCACTGCTGGCCTGGTGGCTCCAGCACCTCAGGTATCCAGTACCTGAGCTCTGTCCCTTCTAGGAAAGCTGCTGGAGCCCAGAACTCCTCACTTTGCACACCTAGACATCAGACAGCACGGCAAGGGCGTCAGCTGCTTGTGTGGAAGGTGCCAAGTGCGTGTGGATTCCCTTGAAATAATGAGTGTGGGACGCTAGGGAGTTGTATGGCTTGCCCATCTGGATGGTCAGTCTCTGTGCATTGAAGTCAGGCAGGCAAATGTTAGAAACATTTCTGTTTAGTCTGCAGGACTAGGGGCACTCAGTACCTGACTCTAGGAGCCTGTTAAGAACCCATTTCAGCCTGTATTTTTTTCCCATCTCTGCCTTTCCATGAAGGGACTTTTTATTTTTCTCTGCTGCAAATATCCCTTTGCTGCGGCTGAAGTTTCTTGCCCACTGTGCAGGTAGGTTAATGAGAAGCAGGCTGGGTTGGGGTTTTACAGGCCTTTGAATTAAATCCTGGCTCCATTCTCCTGTTCAGCGGTCAGAGCTCTGGGACCCCTGTTCTCCTGTCAGTGAAGAAGCTCACAAGTTTGTGATTATTTGTGTGCCACGGCAGGGCTGGCAGTGTGTCCTTGTCTCCCCATACTTCTCATCAGCCCTCCCAAAAATGCCTCTAAAAGAAAAGAAAGAGCAGTCGTTATGTGCTGTGAAGTGATCACGATTAGTGGAGGTCTGATCTTTTGTAAGGGATGTACAAGTGCATTTCCAGGAAACACTGTATTTTTATTGATCTGGAACATGCAATCTAAGTAAAAACTCCACAAGTGCAACCCTGACTGCTTCCTCCCCAGGAAGGAAGGGGAGGCTGACCTGAGCCCTGCCCACGTGAGTGATTCCTGAAGCTGTTAAGTAAGGAACCTCCTGGGAAAACCCCGAGAAATGGCCAACTTGAGGTTGGACATAGGCCATCTGGGGAGGGTTTGGCCCATCCCTGGGGGAGAAGGAACCCTAACGGGAGGTGAGTCTGGCATGGGGAGTTGGATTTAGCAGCAACGGTGAGGGCAGAGGAGGGCTGGGCACTGTCAGAGGGTGGCCATTAGAAATACTGGGACATTTGCCTGCCTTCCAGCGAGCATATGCCCTGTGGGGAGAAGGCTGCTCCCCTGGAAGTCCTCATGGTACAGACAAGGAGGGATTCCCATGCTTAAGCAGGCTATTGCAGTGCACCTGTGCTCAGAGGAGGGGGAAATGCTTCAGGGGGGCCTTGGCACAGAGCCAGGGAGCGGCCGAGGGTGCCCAGGTTGTGGGAGTTGGGACACCTTTGAAACGGGCCAAGGGCTGGGGGTGGTGCCTTCAGTGCCTGGGCTGCTGCCACCTCCCTCTCAGGAGGACCAGAGGACAAATTCAGGAGTTGAAGGTTTAAGGGCAAAGGGCAAATGCAACTCCCCTTATACCCAGTCTTTGTGAACTTGGGCTGCTATCACCACACATCCTAGACTGGATGGCCTAAACAATAAAGTGTACTTCTCACAGCTGTAGGGGCTGGAAGTCCAAGATGAGGCTGCAGGCTGGTTTGGCTCCTGGTGGGGACCCACTGGCCTGCAGACAGAAGCTTTCTCATGGGTCCTTGCATGGCAGAGGGACAGCTCTTTGGTGTCTCTCTTTCTTTGGATCGGGATACCGATCCCATCCTGGACCTCACTCCTATACCTCACCTACCCCTAAGGTCTCACCTCTACACCCTAGCACTTTGGGGAGCAGTTCTTCAGCATATGGATTCCAGGAGGACACAGATGTTCAGTCCAGAACATGCTGGGACTGGGTAGGTGAGGATGGTCCCACTGATGCAGAAGGGTCTGGCACATGCCAGGGATTTACGAACACTGCTTTCCTTTCCTTTTCATCTTGTCTACTAAAGATGACAGCTGGAAAGCAGATATCAAGTGATATCTCCCTGATGAAACACTCAGTATGTATAGGGGATCAGTTCCAGGACCCCCACAAAATGTGCTCAAATCTCTTACATAAAACTGCATAGTATTTGCATATGAATTATACAACCCTCCTGCCCTTCTGCATACTTTAAACCATCTCTAGATTATTTAGACCACCTAATGCGATGTAAATCCTGTTTAAATCAGTGTTAACCTACATTGTGTGTTTAGGGAGCCATGACAAAAGATTCTATATATATTCAGTGCAGATGAAAATTTTTTTGGTACTATTTTTGACCTGTGGTTAGTTGAATCTGTGGATACAGAGCTGTGGATATGGGGCCCTGAGTGTGATATTTTCTCCTCTTGGTACCAAGCTTTTCTTCCTTGATACACTTCCTCTGTCTCCTGCTCAGGGCTCCTGATGGCCCCAGCAAAGGCCCCTGGGGACCAGGTATGATGGGGACTTCCTTCTCTTCTCTTTTGCACTAACATGGCTCAACCTGACCCTTCTGGGTAGGACTCAGGGCTGGAGTCTCAGGGCTGGATTCTCAGAGCTGGGGCATTCCCTACTGCTTTTCCCTCCAAACTCTCTATTTCTTTCTCAGGCAAAGAGTTCTTTTTCCTGGACAATGAAACCAGATTGTGCAAAATAGCCCCTGAAGGATGGAGGGAGCAGCCACTGAAGACGTCCACAGATACCTTCACGCTCTTTCTGCGGATCAAGTTCTTTGTGAGCCACTGTGGGTTGCTCCAGTGAGTGCTGCTTCCTGTCCCCTGGTCTCTTGAGGCGTTCATGTCTGTCCAGGCTGATGTCACAGGCTTGTGCTTTGGGAAATATAAATTACATGCAAAGGGCAGCAGGGACTGTGGTTGATCTGTCAGTGGATTTCCAAGAGGAAATCAGTTTCTTGAGGCAGGCTCGGATCAAAATGAGAACTTGCCCTTGTGTTTGAAATGCAGTCTGCTCAAGGTCAAAGTTTTCTGTCCTCTATGCAACATGCCCCTCTTCCTTCCAACACACAGCTAGCAGTCCAGGGATGGGGGTTGAAGTTGGTCACTACCCCTGTATTCCTTTGCTTGCTGGACACACTCCTGACCACACAGTTTCCCTGCTTGAACCACAGCAGGAGACCTCTGGTGGGTGTTGTATGAAGTGCCTGACACAGGAAAGCAGAAGGAGGAGACCTCACTAGTCTTTCTGGAATTGTCCTCAGGTTCCTTGGCTTGTACCTCATCTAGTCTCCTTTCCCACTCCCCACCATGAGCAGACCTCGTCATTCACATTTTCCCACCCTCGGCATCAGTGCCTCCACACTTGCATGTCTTTGCCAGGCACAGCTTGACCAGGCATCAGTTCTACCTGCAGCTACGTAAGGACATCCTGGAGGAGAGACTGCACTGTGACGATGAGACACTGCTGCAGCTGGGTGTCCTTGCCCTTCAGGCTGAGTTTGGCAGTTACCCGAAGGAGGTAAGGAGGATACCTGGGGCTTTTGGGAGGTGGTCGCTGGAGAAGCCATTGTGGGACAGGGGTGTCTGACTGTCATGAGGATATTGTGCTTTTGAAAAGTGTTACTGGCATCTGAGACTGAGTTTGAGGTAAACTGCATCAACCCATTCACTTATTACCATCACCCATATTCTTACTATTGATCTATCCTTCCATCCACCCATCACCCATAGGCTTATCCATCAACCTATAGATCCATCAATCCATCCACCTATCTATTCATCCATCCTCCTACTCACTCATCCTCCCATCCATCCACTTATACATCACCTATCCATCCAACCATCAATCCATCCATCCATCCATTCATTCATCAGTCCATCCATCCCTCCATCCATCATACAGTGAACGCTATTTTGTAGGATATAGAAGATAAAAAGATGAAAAAAGTCAAGTTTATACATTGTAAGATAGTTCTGGTCTCATAGGTCTCTTCCTATATTAGCTAACTACGTGTTACTACAATGAAATACCTGATGCTGTTAACTTATAAAAAGAAAAAGGTTATTTATTTCACAGTTTTGGAAGTTCAGAGCCTGAAATTGGGCTGTCCTATTGGTTTGGCCTTTGGTGAGGGTTGTGAGTGGTGGCATATCACAGCAGGTGCCTTTAACTGGAAGATCTTACTTTGTCATGCAGGAAGTCAAAGAAAGAGAAACTGAAATTCCAAGGGCATCTCTACAGTGACTGAATGACTTCTCACTAAGTTCTGCCTCTCAAAGTTTCTGTCACTTCTAAACAATTCCACCTTGAAACTGACCTTTTAATCACAATGAACCCTGGAGGGGCATTTAGACCACACCCAAACCATAACACTCCTAAAACTAATTATTTACTGAATGTCTATCCTCATCATTATCATCCTCACCAATAGTAATAGCCAACCATTATGAAAGCATCACTGTATACCTGCCATTGGCCTAGACATTTCCCATAGTGTTAATGCACCTCTCACAACAACATTGCAAAGTAGACACCATAACTCACATTTTCTAGAATAATAGTCTATAGCTCATGTGGCTGGAGCTATAGACTATGTGGCTGGTAAATATGGAGCCTGAATTTGAGCTCAGGTATGTCTGGCCCCAAGCCCGGTGCTGATTCTGTCAGGATGAACTTCTTCTCAAACAGTGGTTCAAATCTTTTGGCTAACCCCTTGCTATGGCAGCAGATTCATATGTGTCTTTGTGATTGAACTGGTTGTATTAGGTCCATCGCTTTATGAATGGACTGAGGCTCCCAGACTGGGTGACACTGCAGATGGGCTGGACCCATTCCCACTCTCTGCTCTCCTAGGCTCATGGTGGTCTGTGGAGACTGGAATTCACTTTTTGCTCCTGTTACCACCCGGTCTGGGAGGACAATATCCCCAAAACTTGCCTACACACTTAATCTCCTCCCTGTCACTTTGACATGCTTTCAGCCTGGTTGTTGCCTACCCTGGGGCTCCTTCCTATCCTTAGCTCCAGAGCTGGGATCCTTGCCATCCTGGACTATTTCCCTCAGGCCTTTGGTGGAGGCATTGGAGGGCCTTTGGAGGAGGAGGCCCTAAGCTAGGGAGCCCCTGTGAATCTTTCAACATCTTTGCTGCAGCTTCTAGATCACTCTTTTGTGCATGGCTAACATGGACAGAGCCGTGTCTTCCAAGAACACCTTAATCCAGCCTTAGCAGATGCAGTAACCCAGAGGAATAATCCTGGGTTTTGGAGTCAGTCAGAATGGAGTTCAAAGCCTGCCTCTGCTGGTTAGCAGCTACATGACCTTGAGCATCTTATCTGTCAGCCTTGGCTTTTATATCTGCCAAATGGAAAATAATAATCAGTTCCTTGCAAAGCTGCTATACAAGGAGAAGGCGACAATACATGTATGGTGCCTGGCATGTAGCAGTTGCTGTGTGCAAGCTTTCCTTCCCTCTACTCCGTAAGTGGGAGTACTATAATATAGAACAATACAGCAGCAAACCTGTGTATGGACTCAGAACATAATGTTAACCCTAGGCTAACTCTAGTCCATGGAGTTTATGGGGAATGTAGTCCAGGTCTCCTGAACACAGCCAGGGAAACTGAGTCATACTAACTCAATCAGGGCCAGAATTTCTCAGTAGAGTCACTTGCCCCAGGGACTCAGATGCCAAGACTCAACTCCATGTTCCTATGTTAGTCTCAGTTTTCCTGAGAAACAGAATAAATAAGGTATCCATCCATCCATCCATCCATCCATCCATCCATCCATCCACCTACCCATCCATTCATCCACCCACCCACCCGTCCATTCATCCACCTACCCACCCATTCATTCACCCACCCATCCAACAATCTAAAGATTTATTATAAGGAATTGACTCACTCTTGGAAACAGAGCTCTCAGAAGCCCTCACCAAATGCCAGCACTGGCACCTTGATTTTGGACCTCTCAGCCTCCAGTTCTGTGAGAAATGAGTTTTTGCTGCGGATAAATCACCCAATCTGTGGTATGTTGTTACAGCACCAAAGGACAGAGACACCCGCATTGGAGAGTACTATCTGCTTTACTCAGTCTACCAATTTTAATGTTTTAATCTCACACGAAAGCAACCTAAAAGAAGCCCAGAATGTTTGACTAAATATCTGGGCACCCTGTGGTCTAGTCACATTGACACATTAAATTAACCATCACAAGGCTGGGCCCCTGTGGCAGTCCAGCTTCTGGTTGATCTCAGCCTTCCTCTCTTCCTCTGCCTGATCATGTCCTCCATGCCAGCTCCCCACCCCAGATCTGCCAAATCACAGGCCTTAGTGCCTAGAGCATTTCTAAGATGCTCTATTCTGCCCCCTGGTGGCCCCTAAACCCAGGATTTTTTTTTTTTTTTTCTGTGTATGAAAGGCAACATGTTACAGAAACCCACACACCTGTGTATCTATCTACCCTCAGTCCTAATCTATGGCAGGTGTGTTCCATGCATGGCACCATCTAGTCCTTATACTACCCTGAAAATCCAGGGATATTCCATTTTCAGCTGAGAACACTGTACCTCTGTGAAGTCAGAGAGCTGCTAAAAGTCCAGCCAGGATTCACTTCTAGTGCTTGCTTAGATATAGTCCCGGCAGTGAGTTGCTTGGTCAAAGGTCCTAAATGCTTTTTACTAAAAATGTCTTAATAAGTTTTGTTTTTTTAGAGCAGTTTTAGTTTCACAGCAAGATTGGGTGGAAAATAGAGATTTCCTCCACCCCTAGCTTCTCCTATAAGCCCTATAAACACCATAAGCATTCTCCATATTTCCTACTGATGGTGAACCTGCACTATCACATCCATATCACCCAGAGCCCAGTTTACTTGCTGACTTCACTCTGTGCCAGGCACTGTAGGAGGCACTTCAGATGGCACGAAAGGAGTGTTAGTCAGTTTTCTCCCACTGTGACAAAAATATGTGAGATAATCAACTTAAAAGGAGGCAAAATTGATTTGGCTCACAGAGGCAGAGGTTTTAGAGGTTTTAGTCCATGGTTGCTTGACCCCATCGTTTTGGCCTGTGGCAGGCAGCACATGGTGATGGAAGTGTGTGGTGAAGGAGGCTGCTCGCCTCATGGCAATCAGGAAGCAGGAAGAGAGGAAGGGTCTGCCAATATCCTTTTCGAGGCAGCATCTCTAGGGACTCACTTCTTCCCACTAGACACTACCTTCTACAAGGTCTGATCAAAATATATGGTGAATGTTTACATTTTTAAATAATGTATCACAATAAAAGACAAAGTGTCATTTATCCCCTTCAAAATGCTCCCCCTCAATTCAAACACATCCCATGGTTCTTGTCACTTTCTGAAGCAGTTCTGGAAGTCTGCTTTCATGAGTGTCTTTGTGAGGTGTAATAAAAAAATACGGTGAATGCTGTTGCCAAGTTCTATCCAGCAGGAAAGCAGGTTTGTAAGAACATCATGCTATGCCTGCACTCATCTTACTCACTAGACCTGACACTGTGTGACTTCTGGCTCCTCTTTCAAGTCAAAATGAGCATGAAAAGTAAACATTTTGCATTGATTCAGGACACTGAGGTAGCCACAACAGCACAGCTAATGACACTCATGAAAGAAGACTTCCAGACCTGCTTCAGAGAGCGGCAAGAGTGATGGGATAAGTGTGTTTGAAGCACGAGGGAGCATCTTGAAGGGGATTCATGGCAGTGTGTCTTTTACCATAATATCTTTTTTCAAAATTTGAACATTCACCATATAATTTGATCATACTTTATAGGTTCCAGCACCTCCTACTAGTACCACAGGCCAGTGACCAAGCCTTCAACTCCTATCGTAGCTGGGAGGCCCCACAGAGGTGAGACCTTGTGTGTATCCATGAGTGGGCAGGAGGAGGAGGTGGCTCAGCCTGCCACAGCCTGAGCCTAGCTGGTTGTGTGGTGGTTGGTGATGCCACCTGTCACATCTAGGAGGACAAGTGTGCTCCTAGTGGGCTTATATTTTGTTTGACAGGTGGTTCTGGCACTAGGATAAAAAATAGATTTGAAAACCATTGTTATGAAAGACTGAGAGCCCCTGAAGAATTTTAAGCAGGGAAGTAATGATTACATTTGCATTTTAAAAGGGGAGACAAAGACAATTTAGTATAAAAATAAATCTCCTTAATCACATCATCATGGCAGAATAACTTTCCTCTGGGCGCATTGTCTTTCAGCCTAGATCACCTGTGTGGTTTTTACACAGCTGTAAACATTGCCAACATTGGATTTCTGTTCTGCCCTTCCCTTCACGGTGCGTGTCTTCCACGCACCTCCCACAAGTGTCTGGAGAAGCTGTGTCATTGGCTCCCAGACCTGTGTCTTCCCTCACTTCTCCATTGTCTGACTGCAGGGCACTGACCTGACAGGGCCCTGTGCACTAATAATCGCTGTTATTATCCTTGGGGTTGCCTCTGATCTTTCTGTCCTGTAAGTGAGATCCAAATAAGCGTCCTATTGCCTGCAGCTTTTCTAGTTGCATGTTTGCTTCTTTTCCTGAATATATTCCTCGCAATGAGATGCTGGGCCAAAGGTCCTAAGTGCTTTTTCCTATAAATGTTTTAATAGGTTTTATTTTTTCCAGAGCACAGTCACTGTTTCATTGCTGCGACAAAGTTGATTATCATCAACTTACAATGAGGAAAGATGTATTTTGGCTTACGGTTTCAGTGACTATAGTTCCTGGTTGCTTGGCCCCATTGATCTGCACTGGTGACAAGGCAGTGCATCCTGGTGGGGAGTGCATGGTGGTGCAGAGCTGCAAAGCAAAAGAGAGAAAGGAACTGGGGTCTCAATATACTTTCCAGGGATACCCCAATGATCTAACTTGCTTCCACTGGTCACCACCTCCAAGTGTGCCATAGGCAGGTGATCAAGCCTTTAGTATATAGGCTTGTGGGGGACATTTAAGATCCAAGCCTTAGAGTGTTTTTTCCTCTAAATGTTTTAATAGGTTTTATTTTTTCCAGAGCACATGATAGGCACTGTTCCATTGCCGTGACAAAGTTGACTGTCTCTCTGACTGCATCCTCTGAGCATGAGAAACTCTCAAGGCCCAGAGTTTTAGGGTCACAGCAGAAGCAAGTGGAAGGTGCACGATTTCCCATATCCCCAGCCCTACATATGCACACCCTACACTATACTATAAATATCTTGCTCCAGAATGTACATTTGTTACCATTCGTGACCCTACATTGACCCATCATTATCACCCAAAGTCCGCAGTTTACACTGGGCTCACTCTTGGTCTTATACATTTTATGGGCTTGAGAAATTTATAAAAGACATGTATGCAGCACTGTACATGCAGAGTAGGTTCATTGCCCTAAAAGTCCTCTATTGCTGCCTCTTCAACCCTCCCTTCCTGTAAACCCTGGTAACCACTGAATCTCCCCGACAGGATGTCATGTAATCGAAACCATGCAGCATGTAGCCATTTCAGACTGGCTTCTTTCACTTAGTAATCTGCATTTAAAGTTCCGCTATGTCTTTTCATGGCTTGAGAGCTCATTTCTTTTTGGTGCTGAATTGTCGGGATGTACTACCTTTATTATCCACTAACCTACTGGAGGACGGCTTCGCTCCAACTTTTGGCAATTATGAATACAGCTACCACAAACATCCATGTGAAGGGTTTTTCTTTCTTTTTTCCTTTTTTGGGCGGCTGGAGATCAAACCCTGGGGCCTCATGCATGCTAGACAAGTGCTGTATGGCTGAGCTACAGCCCCAGCCCTTGGAGGGAGAGTGTTTCTGTGGACATAGGTCTTCTCCTCCTTTGGGTAAATGCCAAGGGGCACAATAGCTGGACCCTATGGTAAGAGGGTGTTTACTTTTGTGAGAAATTACAGACTGTCTCCCCAGGTTGCTGTAACTCTGCATTCCCACCAGCAGGGACTGAAAGTTCCTCTTTCCCACATCCCCACCATCTCAGTGTGTGTCCGTGGTCTGGACTGGCCATGCACTAACACTTTGTGTTCTTTTTTTATGTAGCTGATTGCTGAGCAGTTTCTCTGCCTTTGTGCCTCTGAGCTGTGCCTAGACCTGGCATGGGCCAGGACCAAGCCTGAGCATGGTGGGAGTGTGGTGGTCCCCTTTGGGTCCCCTTCCAGGCTGGCTCACCCACCCCTGCGTGGAGAAGACTAGATTCTCCCAGCTCCCAGCTGCCTTCCTCATGGGCAGCTGCCTTTAAAGCTGGGGGCCAGGGCGTGGCATGGGCAGGCTGGCAGGACATCCTGACCAGTATGGGCTGATTCAGGAGTACAAAGGCAGGCTCAGCTTCTCCTCTGCATAGCCCTACCATCCTTATGCTTTACAGTTGGCCCTGAGACCACTCCTTCATGAACCTAGCATGCTTCTCTCTGTGTTCAGGATGCTTGCTATGGGGCAGGGGGTGATGGCGATCTTCTGGCCTCTCCCAGAGGTGCTGTGGCCTCAGCCCCTAAAGAGCAGACCTGATGAAGGCTGGGGTGTGGGATGGTGTGGAGGGGTCTGGGTTAGTGTTCTTCTCAAACTCCTTGGGCGGAGATGGTGATATAGCTGAGACCTCTCTCATAAGAGGGGCCAGGTACCGAGGCACATGCGGACAGAAATGCTAAGTGATAACAAGGAGGAGAGCATTGGGACCAGGGTTTTGCTGTGGCTTTTGGGAAGTGGTGAGCCACCATGGACCTGCTTTGGCATTTGGGGGGAACAAACTTTGTGTCACTTACAAGTGGTGTGACCTTGGCCTTCCCTGCTTGTTAATTTTGGCAGTGGCAGTGGTACTGCCTGTCTCACAGGATCACTGTGAGGATCCAAAAGAACCTGCTGCTTCTAAGGGCCACCAAGTGCACAGAGGGGATCTAAAACCAGGTGGCTCCTTTCTTCTCTACTTTTTATGCCCAGCATAGAGCTTGGCCCACTTCTAAGATGGTAGAAGATGCTGTCCCAGATGGGCACCTCAAAGACCATGTTTGCGCAGGGACCATGATGGGATTCTGACTACACACCTGTTCATGTCCTACACTGAGTCCCATGGAGGCGTCTGGTTTATACTTCTTTCCTCTGCATCCTGTTTCCAGCAGGAAGAGAGTAAGCCGTATTTTCGAGTTGAAGATTACATCCCTGCCACTCTGATCCAAAGGATGACTGCTCTCCGGGCCCAAGCAGAAGTCTCAGAGATGCACCAGCTCAGCTCTGCGTTGTGTGGAGAGGATGCGGAGCTGGAGTTCTTGAGGGTAAGGCCTTCTGGGTCTTGAGAGTTTCTGGTGCTCAGGGGATGCAGTCAGTGACCCCCACCCACCAGAGCCTGCTCTGGGGGCCAGATGGGGTGGGACTTTGAGTGGCAGGAGGAAGGACGCTTCCTTCATCCCAAGGAGCAAGAAGAGAGTGGAAGCAGATGGCATTGGAAATGACCCTGCTTTGGTCAGCTTTCCCTTTGCTGGGGCAAAATGCCTGACATATGCAATTTAAAGAAGGAAATGGTTTATTTGACTGGTAATTTCAGAGTTTTGGTCCATGGTTGTCTGGTTCCAAGGCAGTAACATCAAGGCAGAAAGGCATGGAGCATCATGGTGGAAGGGCATGAAACATCATAATGGAAGGCACAGTGGAGGAGGCTGCTCACTTTATGGTGACTGGAGGGTGATCAAGGGGTACACCCTCCACAGGTACTCCCTACCCCCTGACCCATCTTCAACTGTACTCCACCTCTGAACAACATGTTCAGCTGTGAAGGTCAGTGAGTGAATCTACTCCAGGAGTCTCTTAACCCAGTCAAGTTGAGAATTAAGATGAACTGACAATGGCCCCAAAGGTGGGTAGGAGTCAGTGGGTTAGGGTGGCTGCCTGGAGTCTTTCCTCAACCTTAGAGCATCATCCCAGCCACTATTCTGTGAGCAAGGACCATGCTTCTCAGATGACATAGGGGGTAGAGATGAGCATGAGCCACTCAAAGCCATTGGGAAACCCTCAATGGGTGGCTTCCGTCAGCCATCCCGAGCGCACATGGGCGTTTGTGTGTATCTGCGCACAGGAGAGCCTCTCTGAGCTGTTATCTCTTCACCCTTCCAGCAAAAGCATATCCACGGCCCCCGTCCATGGGCACCACCTGTGCTCACTCTACATCCTCCCCTTGCTATGGGCCAGGCCCTGCAGGGAACAGATGAGAAGCACATGTTTCCTTCTCCTTGTGAGTCCCAATCTCAGGATGACAGTCAGGGCTGTGTTAAGTGCTCAGTGGAAACAAGGACAATACCAGCTGCTCTGGCAGGACCAGGGCAGGGTAGCCATTCTTTTTTGCAGACACAGCTGGGAGATGAGTAAAGGGGATCCCTGGATCCCACAGGATAGGATGTATGGATGGTCCTTTAGATTTGGGAAGCAGTGTCTAAAGGAAGCACAGGAATCTACACATTTCTTTATACACAAGCTTCCCAAGATAGGTAGAAATATACTGCCCGTGTTTTCTTGCCTGTAATAGAGAAGGGCGTTTGGAAGCAGAGTTAGCCAGGTAAGGCCTAGCCTTTTCCTTGTGGCTGGTCACTTAGCAGAACTGTCCCAACCCTAGTGTGGGGCCAGCCTGCTGTGCATCGTGGGAGAGACATGGACAAACACAGCCTCACTGTACACAGTAGTCTGGCCTTCATGTGTGCTCCCTGTCAAGAGGACATAGCATTTCCCTGATGGAGGACAGAGGGGACTTGAAAGCCTTCTGTACTACTGAGCCTCACAGTCAAGGACCCTATCTGCAAAAGGCTCCCATAGGGGGACAAGGACACTGTTCAAGGGCCCCTCCCATCCCCGGCCTTATGTGCCAGGCTCTGTTGGGTCCCCCCTACCACCCATAGAATGGCAAAAGGTGATTGGAAAAGCAGCCACTATCTGGGGCAAAACTGCTAAAAACTCTCCTCTCAGTGCTCCCCAGAGAGCACAGAATGGCTTAGATCCTTTCATGTGCTGTCTTCGTGAGTGTCAAAGGACAGTGTTCCTCTCAGTGGCTTTGGTGCCAGCAGCTGATGCTGGGTGTAGGATGAGCTGGAGAGGGCTCTCACCCCAGAGCACACCACAACCCTTCTTAGGGTGTGGGTTTGTTAAGCAAAATTCCTTCCCTCCTAATTATAAAAGCAAACATTTCCTCCTGCATCTGGCCTATGGGGTTAGCATATTTGTGTTTTGATGTATTCACCCTGCTCTGTTCCAGTCTGTACATACTCTGTACATCTGCATACATATTTAAAAGGGGCCTTATATTATGCATGCACTTTCACCACGCATACATCATTAAAATCTTAAAAACTAATTATGAAGCAAAACATACCAAATTAAAGCTAATCAAAATTTGTACATATCCATTGAATATACATCAAATACACATCAAATCCCTTCACATACAGCCAACATATATGAAATACATACAGAATCTATGCCTATACACCTAACACATATTTTCCATCAGTGCTCTATTATTTGACATGCAAATTGCCTGCAGTATGGGTCTATAATAAACAATACCAAGATTAGCATTTTCCAACATGAATATTTAGCTGTATTTCTGCTCAATTTGTTATGGGTAGGGCCTCCTAGGTGGAATGTCAGGTTGAAGATAACAAGCAGTTTAAACCTTGTTGTTACATACAGTATTAAGGAGTTACTCCATAAAGAGCCACTGGATTATTTAATTATAGCTCCAAGTGGATCTTCTATTTCACTTTGAGAAAAAGGAGCTCATTCTCTGGTGGCAACCTGCTGACCAGATCACAGATCCCTGGCTCTGCCCATCACCTTGCTCTGGAGCTGACCAGGCAGGGGTCCAGGTTGGTAAGGCTGAGAGTCCTCCTATGTGGAAGACTCACAAATACCTGAGCATGTCAACCCAGGACAACCTTTTCAAGGTTAACTCAATGTTTTCCAGACTTCCTCAACCATGGAAGCATTTTCCCACAGGACTCCAGATTGTGATGTGTTATTAAATCATTTATTTTTCTATTTGGCTATTGCAGTTGTACTGGTTGCATCCTATATTTTTCCCCATTTAGCATTATAACATTCCTCAGACAATTCCAAGTGCTTTGTGAATATACCCTACAAGAGTAGCCTGAAGGTCCACTTTCTTAAGGCTCTACTATCTTTACAATGGGGGAGCTCATCTCCCCACTTGACTTCTGCAAGTCTGCACTGAACAGGATTAGGAGAAGGATTTGTCCTGGTTATTTAGCATGCTTTCTTAAGAGAGATTCTCAGAAGTGGAATGAAAAGGTTAAAGCTATGAATTGTGAATCTCTTGGTGACTATCCTTGTATTATTGAGTTTTCCTGTTCTTAGGAACAACATCCAATCCCTACAAGTTAAAGGGAGAGAAGTTTAGTTTGATTTACATTTTAAAAGGGTTCAGTCCATGGTCACCTGGCTCCAAAGGAGGAGCATCACGGCAAAAGGGTGTGACAAAAGAAAGCATACTCATTTCATGGGAACTGACTGCTCCTCAGGTCATGAGGATCGCTCCAGAACTACAAAACCAGGACTGAGATAATGATGGACTGGGCCCCAGCCCATCTAAGTCCTCCATCAATCTGCTCTGTTCTTTTGTGAATGGGCCAGTCTGATCCTCTTCTTCAGAGTGACCCCTCCAGCTACTCAAGGTGGAGTTCTTCCCTATCTTCCTTCAATATCCAATTAAACCTTTTGCCTGAAAATTCATAGTGTTGCTTTGGTTGTAATTTCCATTATCATGAAAGCAACCTGCTCTAGCCAGTAACACGTTGAGAGGGAACCAGCAACAGTCATGTAGAATAAACAAGGAAGCCTCTGTGGAAGTCCCACTGTGAACAGGCAGTGGAAACAGACACTGTTATTTCATCTTTTACAGATCCAAGATGCTGTTGAAAATCTTATGCACATCCACCTCTGTTTCCATGCTGGGTACTTTGTATTTTAGTTGTTGAGAGCAAAGACTTAGGAGCAAACAGACTCATGTGTCCATGTCTCTACTCCTGGCTCCAAACTGGGAACTTGGGCAGGTTCCTTATGTCAAAACGGTTTGTCTCAGACATATTCAGTAGATGAATTTGTCCCTGGATAGTTGTATTAAAGCATACTAAAACCAAATGTCTAAACATCATTTCATTACAATACATTGTCCTGAGAGCCTGATGAAGTCCCCCAAAGAAGAGATGGGAACCTTAACTCATCCCATGGGTGGAGCAGATTGCAAGGTTGCTGACTTCCATCATGGGTGTCTTAGTTACTTTTCTTGTTGCTGAGACAAAATACCCAACACCCAAAGTTAAAGGAGGAAAGGTTTATTTAGCTCACAGTCTGTAGAGGTTTCAGTTCATAGTTGACTAGATGACATGGCAGATGGGCATTGCAGAGGGGAAACTGTTCACAGCAGCCAGGAGAGGACAAGGCAAGCAAGAAGCCTTAGCAGCTTTTTTCTGTCCCTTGCATATTCTATCTAGGCTACAGGGATTAGGATGGTGCCAAACCAATCACTGTTTTAGTAATCACCCATGCTTAATCCTAACACCCTTAATCCTAGCATTGCACCATGAATCAATCACACACTATAGATGCAACCATCTCTGAAAAAGCCCCACCTATGATCACATGAGGCTTTAGGGCCACCTAGACACAGCAGTAACAATGGGAAAGCATTTCAGGAGGAGTCGGTGAGAGGCGGAGGTAGGGTTACTAGGCAGAATTAAAGAAGGCAGGGAGTGGGGGCTCTTAAGGCAGGAGGACATGTATGTTCTGACTTTCCCTTTGATTATGTGTTCTTGGAGATGGAAATCTGTGGAACCTGTGAATCTATAGCAAAGGGATAAAATTTGTAGGGCTCAAATTACAGGTCCATTCTAGATGAAGGACCTGCTTTACAGTAGGGCACAGGCCCTATCTTTGTATTTTTTAAAAAAGAGTTAGGGATTTGAAAGTGAGTATCTTGGAAAGGAAAAAAAAATTATAACCTTAGGTAACTTTGTGTCCTGAAGCTGTGTTTTTTTTTTAAAAGCACAATTTAAAAATTATAATTTTCCTTGTATCCTTTCTGCCTATCTGTATTTCTTCTGTCCTACCTTATTCTACTACATGCAATAAAAGGAAAATGAAAGCATTATCAAATTGATTGTGTCACATAAATTTGGCTCAAAATGATATAACATTGATATGTTCCCTCTCTCGCTGTCCTGTACTTTGCTTTAGAGTTGTTCCAATAGGACTTCACGTTTAGGACACACGTGCTCCTGGAAGTGACATGAAGCGGAAGTTGGCACCCTTAGCAGTAATGTGAGCATGCTGGAGCCAGAGGTTCAGTGTTGTTATTCACAGCCAGAGTCCTAGCGCAAGGCAGTCAGGCAGAACTGTGCATTGCAAAATAGGCCAGAAAGTTTGGGCAGAACAGTAGCCACTAATTTCCGAATAACCAGTAGCTGGATGAGGGTATTGTAAATACTAAAACCCTCATTTTCCTCTCTTGAGCATGGCTATGGTGATACTTGGTGTTGTGACGCAAAAGGACTTGTCAACTTGTGAGGAAAGACCTGGAGCTGTAGGACACCAAGCACAGTGCAAAAATGTGTTTGTGTACTTTGCAACAATAGCTGTAGATATCAATTACAGTATGGGATCAATTTCCTGGGTAGCAGTAGCCCTTTCTCTGTGACTTCCATAGACCATAAGAATAAAAGATAGACCTGCATTTTTCAGGAACATGTTGAATTTTCCAGAAAAAAAAAATCTTGTCAACTGAAGAATTCACCTTCAGGGACAAATTGTTCAGTTGACCTTATTACTTAATCCTTCCCTTCCCCTATTTTCTTCTGTGAAAAAGATAGCTATATCTATCTCTTATGACTATTATGAAGACTAAATAACAATGAAATAATGCATGGGAAATGCTTATAAGATGTTTAATCAGTTTAAGAATTTGGGGATTTCCCCCTAGAACTGCAGTATCAGCTCTTCCTAAAATTAAAAAATAAAAAAGTTAATATAATTTTTTAAAGTAAGCAAGTCTAGCAAGAGCCTCTTTAGTCTTATACTACAAGGCAATATTAATGCTTTAAAAGAATTTTTGAAATATCCAATCAAATTCTTTAAGAGAATTCACCTAATTGTTTTGGGGTGTCCCTGCTTCCTCAGGCCCTAATCACATGCCCAGCCTGGTCATTGAATATATCAGCACAGGTACCCATAAATACTGTTTAGGGTGATGATGACAGTGAGGATGAGGACAGTGTCTCACCTAAGTTAAAAGGAAATGACACAATGTCCAGATGTTTAAGCCACAGAATATGCAGGCAGCATCAGCTCTCTGCAGAAATGATTTATCAACAGGGTAGGAGAGGTCAGCAATGAGCCTGAGAGAGATGGACAAAAGCTGTGATTTGTGACCATGTCTTGAGGTGAGAGAAATTGGACAGGAGGTATGCTCTTTGCTGGTGCATAGAGATGGGAGACAAGCTCCCACCAAGGAAACCCTTCTGAGAGGGGTTGGAGGTGCCTGGAGCAAGATGTCCACACTGTGGTTCCATATGCATCCTTCTGATGAGGCCTGGAGTCTTCTGGGTGGAAGGAAAGAGGAGAGAGTCCAGGATGGAGACATGACTGCTGTCCAGACATAGTAACATTTGTGTTAAGTTCATGCTGCAAACTTGAAGGATTTAGTTGGTCTTATGAGTTTGCAGCTCCGGCTGACTGTTAGCAAACCTGGGGCTGCGTGAGCCCCTTGAAGCCTTGTATGGGGCGAGAAACGCCAAGGTAACAGGTCGTTTTCTCTGCAGTGTTCATGGCTCAGCTGGCTTGGACAGTGATGCAGGTGATCTGGAAGGTTACTTTCTGTGCCTGAATGAGCTTGGGCCAGTAACCTGTGACATAGCTAGGAAAAGGAATTCTGTAACTGAGATGCCCCAGGAGAGTATGAGTGCTAAAAAATAAGTTTAGAATAGTATCACTCTACTGTATCATACACATAATAATTGTGCTCCAAGAACTGCTTGAGATAATCCATAAATAAAGGATTCCTTGGGTTAAAAAAGGCAAGAAAAATGCTAGCAAGTTAGAGGTGCGGATCTGTTCCATAGTAAGAGAATCTGCTTAGCCAAGGGTTTCCTAAACTTATTTAGTGGCAATAGACATGGCTCAGCTCATTTTCCTGGAGTGGTTGGAGGCCCATCATCTTAAATTGGGCTGTCCTTGCCTATTTTGTTCTTAACTTGGCCTTTTTCTTGCTCCAGATAACTCAGCAGCTCCTGGAATATGGGGTTCTGATTCACCGGGTGTTCCCAGAGAAGAAGAGGCTGGAAGGGGAGATGGCCTTGGGGGTCTGCGCCAAAGGTGTCATCGTATATGAAGTGAAAAACCACAGCAGAATTGCAACCTTATGGTTTCCATGGAGAGAAATTGGGAAGATTTCGACTTATGTAAGTGTGACACGGATGATCAGTGACCTGTACTTCACTCTTCTGTGATCAGCTGCCCACTTAACAGAGTGACATGTGGATGTCTCCCGGCCAAGTGTGCCCACAGCCTGGCATCCATCTCTCAACCTGTGTTTTGATGCATTGGGAAGTGTTTGGAAGACAGCTACCAGCAGGTCTGGGGAGGCATCCAGGAGATCATTTCTCCCTACTCTCCCAGGCCAGGTCCTTAAAACACCCATGACCCTCTGGGTCAAGTGTCCGGAAGTTGGGGACCCATCCACATGGAGAGTGAAGCTAGAGGTGGGGAGTGGGTTGCAGAAGGCGTGGGTGTCTGCAAAGTTTGGAAACATCTTCCTTGTGTTGGAATTTCCCTTGCGCTCAGTTTGCCTGGGCAGCTAGTCTGTCCCCCATGGATCACATGTTGCTACTTTTGATGGCCATTGAAAGTTGAAAAGCCTTTAAACAAAAGAAGGTCCCTATTTAACATGCAACGTTTGAAACTATATTTGCATCCCACTTGCAAGAGTATTTATACCTCCTGAGTTTAGTTATAACCCATTTGGCACTGGTACCTCGGTAGTGGTCTGCCCCTGCCTGTCCTGTGAGTTATCCAGGTCAGTGCTGAAGACCTTTCAGTGATTATTTAATTTTTAATGTTATTTTTATCAGTCCATGTTTGCAGCACACAATGATTACATTTTTCATGGAACAGTTGACACATGCACACATGCAGTGATGATTTTAAAACAAAGGTCTCTGACTTGTGGCCAGTGGAAAAATTTAACTTTTATATTAACTTTTATTATTTAATTTTTTTTCTACTAACTAGATCACTATTTTTATTATCTGATTTAATTTCCAAAGCAGAGTACAGCTGTTTTTATTCATTCTCTGAATGTTTCTTTTGTGTCTTCCAGCCTGGCTTTTTAAGTTAATATACTGGCAAAGTGTGATTTGCAATAGAATGTCACAATATTCTCATTTGTCTTCAGGGAAAGAAAGGTTACATCTAAAAATAGATAACAATTGAACATAATTTGAGTTCATTGAAGTGGCCTGTATATTATCAAGAAACTGACTTTTTTTTTGGTTTTGGTTTTGGTTTTTCTCCGGTACCAGGAACCGAACTCACGACCTTGCGCTTGCCAGGCAGGCGCTTTTGCCGCTGAGCTAAATCCCCAGCCCCTGAAATTGACGTTTTATCAGACTTTTTTTTTTTTACCAAATTTAAATATAAACAGTATTTATGTTCATGAAATTTTCAGACTTTTAGTTATTTGAATTACTATAATTAAAAGATTTGAAGAATTTGAATGTTGAAATAATTCAGTCCTATTACATTATTTCTTGTTTTTTTCACTGCATGCTTCACAGTTCAAAATTTTAATGTAATTTGTTTTAAAACATTCATAAAAATGCAGATACCTCAAATAGTAATTTTTAAAAATATAATTTTTTAAAGCTGTAAAGTTCAATAGTCCCTTTATATAAGTGCTTTTCATGTAAATTAGTTTAACTTTTACAGATATTTATTTTCCCCATCCCCAAAGTGAATTTCTTGATTAAAACTGGGAAGTAATCATGTTCACAAGGCAAATGCATTGCTTTACAAAACCTATTTAATTAGGGTTTCCCTCCTCTGATGTTCAGCTTCTTTCTTGGTGTGAATGACTTATTTTATGGAACTGTCATCCCATGGAGTCCTGTCACCAGCTGCTCACCACCGACTGGACAGTGGCCATAGAAAATCACTTGAACATTTTATACTTCTGCAAACACAAAATTGGGAACTCTGAGTAACATGAGAATTAGTACAGGAAGCTGGTTTCAATTTTGTTTGTCTGAAGCCAAGATGCTGGCAATAGTCACTATCACTCATCTTGCCAGCCTGCACGGAAGCAGCCCAGGACAGAGGGGAAGATGCCATCTTCAAAAGCATGATTCTTTGGTGTGTTGGCATCTATAGCACTGATCCATGGTTTGATTATTCAATCAAAAGGTGTTCCTTCGGGAACAAGGAGCCCAGCCAACCATTTTGGTAACTAATCTTTGTTGTTAGCACTGGTTAAAATCTCCAGAGAGAAATGTAGGAATCAGAGGAGATACAGGCTATTCAGGGTCATATTTAAGAAAAAGAGTCCTGAGGCAGGAGGATGGCAAATTCCAGTTTAGCCTGGACAGTTTAGTGACTTAGAGAGACCCAGTCTCAAAAATGGAAAATAAAAATGGCTGGGAATGGTACTCCATATTAAGGCCCTGGGTTCAATTCTCAGCCCTAAAAAACACAAAAAGGATATAAAGTAACAGATACAGACTTCTATGTGAAAGGGAATATTTTAGAAAGAGAAAAGAAAGTATAATTTAGGATTTTAAAAGTCAAATAAGCCCTGTACCTATCACAGCAGCCAGAAAATAATTCTTTTATTTATACTTTTTTCTTTTTCAAATTTTTGACGGCTTATTCTTTGGTTATTTTCTTCATAGGAAACACTTTTGTAATAAAATTTTCTCTAGGGAGAATAGAAGCACAGTTCAGTATTTCTTCTGGTGTGGTGGCTTGAAATTTGGTTTTATTCTGGAGAGCAGGCAGAAACATGCAGCTCTCTATAGAGATGCACTTGCTTTTTGCGGTGTTTTCTACAGGTTTCCTTGCTACATGTGCAGGGCATCTTTTTTTATTAGGCCATGTTTACGTACATAGTGTTCACACTCCTTGTGTGGAGTTGGTCCACACACATCACACATAACACCTTAATGCCTTTTTCATCCCCCACCCTCCCTCCATCTCTTAACCCCTTTCCCATCTGAGAGAAATATATCTCCCTACTTCCTATTATCTACTTTGGTCTTTATTTATATATATATTTTTTTCTTTTTCAGACAGGGTCTCACTATGCAGTTCAGCCTGGCCTTGAGCTCACTTTGTAGCCCAACCTGGTCTCAAACTCACACAGATCCTCTTGCCTCAGCCTCCCGAGTCCTGGGATTACAGGCGTTTGCCACCACACCTGCTATTTATAGTTTGGCTTGCTCATGTAATAGAAACCATGAGATATTTAAACTCGTGTGTCTAATTTATTTTACTTAACATTGTGGCCTCAAGATGCATCCAGTTTCCTACAAATGACTCAAGTTCAACTTTCTTTATGGCAGAATAGTACTCTATTGAATATAAATACCACAATTTCTTTATCCAATCATCTGTTGGTAGACATATAAGCTGTTTTTAAGATTTAGCTATTATGAATTGTGCTGCTATAAACACGCATCTGCATGTATAACTGCAATATGAAGTCTTTAATTCTTTAGGGAAGATACTTAGAAAAGTAGTAGCTGAATTACAGTGGAATTTCTAATTTTAATTTTTTGAACCATCTCCATACTAATTTCCACAGTTTATACTCCCTTTAACAAAGTAGAAGGGTTCCTTTCCCCCCATAACTTCACCAGTATTTGTTATTATTTGTTTTTTTTGTTTGTTTGTTTGTTTGTTTTTGTGATGCCCATTCTTTCTGGGGTGAGGACATGTTTAAAAAATATGTGTTTTTATGTGTGTTTATAATTATAAAAATGTGTGCTTATGTGTTTCTGGGGGTAGAACTCAGTGCCCCACACATGGTAGGCAAGCACTATACCACTGAGTAACACCTCCAGCCCCAAATGCAGGAAATCTGACATTTATTTTGTGCAATTCCCATTAAAAAGGGGAAAAATACTGTGTGGTGTATTGACAATGAGATGTGTCTAATTACAGAGCACATCCCTGATAGGACAGATCCTCACTTGATTAGGTGTTCTTGAGAATTAAAGGACAGTTTTCATGTCTGATGACTGCATATGTTTTTCCCAGACAGCTACTGGCTCTTTATCTCTCAAGTTCCTTCAGGGGCTGGGTGCTGCAGGGTATGGTCAGTTTCATATGGCTGCTGGCACCATGCCCTGCTGACCCAAGGATCTGCCACCAGGCACCACAGGCTTTACCACTCCCAGTAGTGGCACCCTAGGGGCCAAGCCTCTGACACAGGGGCCTCTGGTGGACATTTGCGATCCAAACCCTACCAGAGGGAAAGGAGGGGACAGTGAGCCAATGGGCTTGACAGACTGTGGTGAACGCATCTTCCTCTCCACATTTCACCAGAACGTGGGGACAGGTTGCCAGGCTTCCGGGAAAGGGCTGCTTCATGAGCTCCGGGCAAATCTGCCTCTGCCTGAAGGAACACTTCCATTCTGCAGAGATGCATCAAAACAGAGACAAACAGCAGTAACAAAACTGCCGGGGATGGGCTACTAAAAGTGGTAAAGTGGTGGTTCCTGACTTTACAGAAGCCCCAGGAGTGACTGTGCTGCAGCCACAGGGGCATGGGAAAGGTTTGCATGAGTGTGCTGAGAACCCCGAGTCTGGAGTTGTGCATTATCTTATTCACAGAGCAGCGCACTTGGGAGGAAGTTTGCCTGCAGATACGAGTTTCCCATTAAATGATGTTATCCTAGTGGTGCTAAATAGAAATCAAATCTACCCTGAATGCGTTTTCAGCTTGTTTTATTTATTTATAGACAGGGTCTCACTATGTAGTTGAGAATGGCCCCGAACTCACTATGTAGGCCAGGCTGGCCTTCATCTTACAGAAATCACCCTTCCTCAGCCTCCTGAATGCTGGGCTTACAAGTGTGTGCCACCATGCCTTTTAACTCTTTGCTACCGTCTGGCCTTAGTTCCTCAGAGTGCTAGTATCTATAAGGAGCATTCTGTTGACATTTTTAAAGAAACTTTGCTCTGTGTGTGTGTGTGTGTGTGTGTGTGTGTGTGTGTGTGTGTGTATGATTCTTCCTCTTCAGATTTATTATAGTTATTGTTTTTAAAAGCTACTTAGTTCTGTACAAATATTTAATACTGAATGAAGTCAATACAAAACCTCCAAGCCTGCATGAAAGCGTGACAGTGCGCCCTGCCAAAGTGTATGTGTGCCAGTACTCTGCACTCCTGTGCCCCGGTGGATGGGTGACATGGGAAGTATACTAACCTCTGTGTTTGCTTCCTCCAGCGAAAAAAATTCACCATCACCAGCAGCCTCACCGGGAAGAAGCACACGTTTGTCACAGATTCATCCAGGACTTGCACATATTTACTGGGCCTCTGCTCTGCTCAGCACGGCTTCCACGCGCAGGCAGGCTCCGGGCAGCCTCCTCGCCTCTTAACTGGTGAGTGCAAGCTATATGCTTAGCACATGCTTTGATGCATTCTTCATTTCACAAAATCATTTGCATGAACAGATACAACTGAGCCAGAAGACTTTAAAAAGTCTTAAGTCTCCCCAGTAATGACAGAGCTACGACAGACATATAGTGTCTATTTTCTCAGAATGGCAGGAATGGTGTGCTCCCGAAGGTGTAAACAGCAGATCTGCTTGGGGAATTTTTCTCTTAGCTGGATGGGGGTCTAGTCGGGAGACCTGACTATCAGTATCAATAGCAAAATGACACAATATTCCCAGAGTGTGGTTGGGAATATATAGCAAAAGCCTTTTTAAAGTTCATCTTCTTTTGGCCCCATCATTTCACTCTTAGACAGATATTTACTCCACACTAACAAGTGCAGGAGTGGGAATAGTTGTTTATGGGTGTTCGGTGGAGAATTGCTTATAGCAGGAACACCTGGAAGCAATCTAAATTCCTCTAACGCAAGACTAGTTAACCACATCGCAGCATATCTATATCTGGCAGTGAAAGTGGGTTTTGGAGAACAATGACAGATGAAACTGTACATGAGATAACACCAAGTGAGGGGAAGTAGGGTCTAGACTGGATCTACACAGTCCGATGGAATGTTCTTCCTGACAGAAACATCTGCACCCTTTGGTTCTGGGTGTCACCAGCACCATGTACCTATCCTGGTGGCAAAAACAACCAAAAATTAAATCTTTAATTTTATTTCATCTTTGGTGATTCATATTTTTTGAGTTTTATCTTATTATTTTTTACTAGTATGTGTTTGCAGTACACAATAATTACAGTCCTTATGGGGAGGTGGTCCATGTACACAGCACATCTTAGTTCTTCTCTCTTCCCCTCCCCCTCCTCTCCTTCCTAGCACCTTTCATTTTTTTTTTTTTTTTTTCCTCCGGTACCAGGAACTGAACTCTCCACCTTGCGCTTGCCAGGCAGGCGCTTTGCCGCTGAGCTAAATCCCCAGCCCCTACCTTTCATTTCTTGGTCCCCTTTTTGTTTTGCAAAAGATCCATCTTTGTTTCCTAGTATCTGTTTTTTTATTTTGTGTTTTAATTTATACATTGGGTTTCTCAGATAAGAGACACCATGTGTTACTTAACCTTGTGTGTCTGAGTTTTTTCACTTAACATTTCAAGGTGCATCCATTCTCCCACAAATGACTCAAGTTCATTCTCCTTTAAACCCAAATGGCCATGTGTGCTACCTGTACTGGACAGCACAGGTGCACATCGTTACTATAACATGTTGCGAACAAGAAAGAAAGACCACAGACATGAAAAACACCGAGATATCACTTATTACTTTTGTGAGTATGACTGCAAGCATGCTTGTCCCCTTTTTAAAAATTTCTCAGTATTTATTGAGCTTTCAGCAATGGGCATGAATCACTGGCCTAATTAGGAAAGAGACTATTGGTTAAAACATGGCCATAAATAAGACTGCTTAATATTTATTGAGCATGTGGGAAATGCCAGGGAGCTGTTTGCTCTTGTTGTTACTATTTCCCCAGGTGTTATGCTAAGTACAGATGTGAATGATCTCATTTGTGTTCAGAATCTACTGTTTTCTCAAACTGCTGGCACCCAGCAGGACAGGGCGGAAGCAGTGTCTTGGGGAAGAGCAAGCTTGGATCTGGGGAGTTGGCTCTTTGCCAGCATCTTGGCAGTGAGGCTGAGCCTTGAGCCTGCCCACTGAACCCCCTGTGCTATGGCCTTTCATAAATTGCCAGAGTGTGGACTTCCAGCTCAGAGAGACTTGGCTTTGAGCACAAGCCTTATCACAGGTGCTGTTGATCCCTGAGCATTATTTCTTCCTCTGTCATGAAAGGGAAAATACATACAGCGCTGTGCACTTTTCAGAGAGTGTGGGCCCTGCAGTGTGTGTGTCCCTGGGAGCTCACTAAGGCTGCAGAATGCCAGGCTCCATTCCAGACCTGCATTTGAGAAAGAACCCAGGCGATCTGCATGCCCCTGAGTGTTGATGAAGGGCTGGCCTGGAAAGAGGCTGTAGATGCAGGTGAGAGCCCTATGTGATTCAGGGCTCCGGTGTCCTCACTGAACACCCTGGCCAGCTCATTGTGCAGCTTGCCAGTGGTACAGCATGGGTGACATTTCCAGCTGGCTGAGCAGCGGCATTCAGGGTGCAGTGGCCCCATCCATGGGGTTTGGTTGAATGGCAGCCACTTCCCATGGGGGTGATGTCACAGGTTCTAGGTGCCGGCCCATGAGCTGGAGGCAGCTGGGAAACAGAACCACTGAGTGTCAGATACAGAATCAAATTCAGAGACCACAGGCAGCAGAACCAAACACCTTAGACATCTCAGGGAAGAACAAGCTGCTGGCACAGGAGAATTCTGGGAGCTGCAGGTGGGGACAGGCCGGGATGGGACATGACTGCCCTGCTGTTGTGGGACATGGATTGTGGGACACTATCCATGTGGCTTTTATCACCAATTTTATGATCATAAAACATTTACTGACTCCTGAGCTCACCTGCGAAATGAGTCCTTCTAGGCTCTTTTTGTTTGTAATATACTGTTCTCTCTACTGCAACTCTACCCTCTCAGGAGTGTTCAGGAATCTAACATTCACTTACCTTAAAAGGACTTACATGGGCAATTCCCTTTGCCCTTAAAGACTTGACATGAGGAAATCACTGTAGACACCATTTTCTCTTATACTGTGGTTGATTAGAACATATTTGTAGTACATATTGATTCCATTCATTGTGGGGAGCTGTCCTCTCACCCCCATGCCCACCTCTCCCTCCACCACAAAATCCCCCTTTCCATTTACTAAAGATCTGTCTCTCTCTATTCCTGTTATCTTTGCTTTAACACTTTAACTTATTTATACTCTGAGTTTCTCATGAGGGAGAAACCATCGAGATATTTAAGCTTCTGTGTCTAATTTATTTCACTTAACACTGTGGTCTCCAGGTGCATCCATTTTCTACAAATGACTCAAGTTTATGCTTCTTTATGGCAGCATAGTGCTCCATTGTGTGTAGATACCACATTTTCTTTATCCATTTAGCTGTTGATGTATATATATAT